AAGATTTTATTTATTCAGTTTTTTCCCCCCAAAGCCCCAGTAGATAGTTGTATGTTGTAGTCGCACATCCTTCTAGTTGCTGTGTGTGGGACGCAGCCTCAGCATGGCCGGAGAAGTGGTGCGTTGGTGCGCGCCCGGGATCCGAATCCCGGGCCGCCAGCAGCGGAGCGCGCGCACTTAACCACTAAGCCACGGGGCCGGCCCTCAATTTCTAACCAAGTGTATATTTTAAAATAATTTATTATTTACTGCAGAAATTTTGTGTCATTTTTTGCCACATGCATAAGCTCTCAGAGGAGAAAGTACATGCAAAGAATAGTAATCGGCTTTATCACTAGAAACAGGAAGATTTAGATCAGCAATCAACACAAAGAGTTTTCTAGAGGTTACCTGCGGGCATGAAAAATTACTTAGTAGGTAAAAAATCCATGTAAATAGGATTCATGCATGGTTTTAATGAGGCTGCATAAATCATTAACTGTCTTCTCAGGGAATTTTCAAGTTAAAGTTTTAGCCAACTTAACTCAAAGGTCTTTTCTTCATATTTTCTTTTCATCTCTATCAACTCAGATTCCACAAATAAAACCGACCAGTTGAAGCATAGACCTAGATGGGAACTCTGGGCATACAGAGAAAGCCACATAGTTCTTTTAGGGGCCATTAACAAGCAACAGGGTTCCATTTAGGCACTGTTGTAAGCCAACCCCAGAAACTACTTCCACCAGCATACAGCATTCCTTCCAGAGGGGCCGACGCTTGCAGCTACTCCGTGACTGCTCAAATTCACGCGTTCAACTCCGCGTGCTTACTCTGTCAAACTGAGGGCCCCACCTGGAAAATGGGTATGCCCTTTCTTCCATTCCAACAAAGGGACCACAACATGCTCATACTCTTTTAAATGCTTTACCTGATTTTTTTCCTTCTCCTACTGGCTTTAGGTAAAAATCAAAAGAAAACTCCCTATCCAAACAAAAACGAGTGTCCTTTAAAATACTGACAAGGATTCAGGGGCACTCTGGTGATTAAAGAGATCGCATTTCTGCTTATTTGTAGAATGGCAACAAAAACATCTGTTGAGACTTCACTGTACAAGGTAGAAAACAATGGATGCTGTCCAAGGCCTGAAAGCTTTTTCCCGTTCTGAATGACACAACAGACCAGCGCAGAAAGATAGACAAACATGCTCAAGGTCTTATTTCAACAACTCAAGACCCTTTTTGGTCTGAACATTTCATAGCAGGGAGAAAACGCAGATCTATTTTGAAGAGAGCAGACTTCAAAAACTTTAAAAACATCCCTGTTAAGTTACTATTCAATCAAGCTTTAGTTCAATAGCAGCTTAAAAAGAGAAGCAAGAGAAAGGAAAGAAATTGTCTTCAAATACCTTCCGTCATTGGGTAGCTCACTGTTGTTCTTCAGCCACGTGACAGTAGGGATTAAGGTGTGATCGTGTTTCACTTTGCATTCAAAAGACACTGTGCTTCCTCTTTGCACAACTGCATATTCAGGCTGTTTAATGATCCTTGTTGGATCTGAAATTTAAAGTTATTGTTATCCATTGCCAAAGCTAGAGAATTTGCTCCAAGTCACATAATACTTGAAGGAATTTTGTCACCTCAGCCTTACCTTTGATTTCTAAGTGAACTTCATTCTTTGCTATTCCTAACTTATTTCTTGCAACACATGTGTAAGTTCCTGTACTATCCTTTTGGGCTACAGGAATTTCCAAAGTTCCATTTTCATGTAAGACATACATATCTTCACGAAGAGCACTACCCTTAGCTCCTTTAAACCTTCATTACAGAAATGATCACAACGAGAAAAAAAAAACGAAGTCAGACATAAAATGCCAAGTTCAAGGTCAACACACCATGATCTGCATTATAGTATCAAGTTCAGAGACACCTGGCATCTGCACAAGAATATTACATGCTTATAAGTCAGCGGGGTCAACGTAAAGACAGGATGTAAAACTGGAGAATTCAGTGACAAATGGTGCTTGAACAAGTAGGGTGACAATACAAAATGCTTAAATTATAATATTCATTATGAAAGATTAATAATTTAATAAACATATTACTACCTATAATTTAATAAACATATTACTACCTATTCTATCTCTACATAAGTGATAAAAGAGGCAAAATGAAAACTGCTCTTTCTGATACATCCCCCCTACTGTGATGTAGCTGTAACTCCATCTGCCGGCTACACTTCTAAAGAGATTTTGATTTCAAGGTTATGAGGGCTATAAGGGTATGTTGTTCTGAAAGACTGAATAGGAAAATATTCAGGGAAGAAAAAAATAAAGCCTGTATGTAAAGCACGTGTACATCCAGCTTCCTCCTAGACAATTCCTAGTGTCAGACGGGAGAAGTGAGGATGGATGAGAAGCTAAGCGTCACCCTGGCACTGTCACTAGGAAATCATCTGCACAGACATCCCTGTTTCTCTTCTCCACGGGGAAGGTGGAGCCCTGAGGAGACTGTCCTTTATTCCTACCTCTGACTTTACACTCACATCAGCAGGTGGAGCCCAGCACAGTGTCTGGCACCTGATAGATGATCAGTAAATGAATGTTACAGTTTTCTTTGACTCATTCTTTCTAAGCTGCTGCCTAACCTAGCCTCGTCTCTCCCAGCTCATGCTAAAGTAAGCAAGCCAGGAGGATGAACTGGACTCATATCAGGAGTGGTATAGGACAGGGGATGGTCTAGAATGGGGAGTGAAAGGACACAGGAGAGCTTGGCTGGATCCAAGTCAGGAGACTCATGGGGGAGAGGTACTAACGAGGAACACTGGAAATAACCAATTCTGTTCTGGGGTATAGAACCTCTTCCCCACCCTGAATGACATTTTATTATCAAGGAATGTCCCCCCACCAGTCCCTCCAGCCACCATTCATGAAATCCCAGGTGATGTCCATGGCATTGTAAAATACAGCAACCTTAAATTCTCAAAACATTTACATACACCTCTGTGGTTGACAAAGTGTGCTGCTAAATAGATCATACATGTGAAAGTTTTTAGCACAGAGCAAGTAGTTAATAATATTTCTAAATGAATTTAATAATTAATTGTATCATGGATTCTGCACTGCCTTTTTTCCTGTCTGTTCTCTGACTAAAACACAACATACTGGGAAATTTGAAGGCTTTAGCAAATGTAAATATTAAAAACAAATAGGGCCATTACTTACCACTCAATAGTAGGTAGAGGAGACCCAAAGAAGGCACAGTCTAGTAGAGCAGGCCTGTTCGCAATGACCTGATAGAGTGTGTTTGCAGATGTAAGGATTCGTGGTGGCTCAGCTAAAAATATTTTTAAAAGGTAAAAGAAATATTAAAATAAAATAAACATTTAGGCCTGCTGTGTATTTTATTGCATTTTATTTTAAGGCCATTAGAGGTTATGATAAAGCACAACCAATATGTCTCTCCCCTTATGTTCTCTATCAGTTATGACACTACTTGGAGAAATACAAGTTTTCTCCCTCTGCCTCACATCCCTCATCTTACTCAGGCATAGTATTTTAATAACTGATTTATTTATCTATATCTCCTACTATACTGTGAGTCCCTTGCGGGCAGGGAATGGGACTATTTAGTGTTTTTTCTCCAGAAACTAGCATAGTATCTGGCACAAAGATAATGGCCAAGTACATTTTTGTTGAATGACTGGCCCACCATAACCTCAAGGTTATAATGGGGGTGGGTGGGTGGGTGTGGTGGGGAGCACGCACGCGGGCCTAAAAAAGCAGAGCGCTGATGACTGAAAACTGAAGCAGGAATCCAAACTGCTTCCTAAACACCCACCAGGATCTTAACTGCTCAGCTCTTCCTGTGATTTTCTGACTTTCATCTCCAGCAGGAAGGAAAATTACCAAGCATTGGTTGGTCCTTGACTTTAATTTTGTTTGAGAGGGAGTCTATTATGCTTAGAGAGTTGAAATATTCCCCGGCTCCACAAAAACAATTCTCACATAAATCTTTAACAAATTTTGTATTTTGGTAGTTTTGTACAATATCAGAAACATGATGTTCACATAAACCAACATTTCAGAATATGATTATGTCACAGTTTTCTAAACAGATTATTATAAATTAATAAATAGATGTACATCTGTGACTTGGATAAAGGCCAAACATTATGATTAATGATTTATTTTCAAAAAATCAGAATCATGAAATTGTTATTCAGCTTGTCAGTTTCTAAGGACGGAACAGCAGTAACATTCAGTCACTAATAGGAGACCAATGCTATTTTTCTTTCGAGGGGTTTGACACTTAGTCTAACCATCTGCGAATGGAGCAGCCTGACTATTTGATTATTTCTGCAATGGAGAATTTGCCACTATAAAAATGGTGTTATGAAAGAACATTAAGACCAGACTGTAATACCCTTTAGGGCAAGGTCTGTATCTTATCCATCCTCGTATATTCCTGACAGCTCCAAGTAGTGCCCATTGCACACAGCAGATGCTCAATGTATTTTTGCTCAATGAATGGAAAACAACAGCCGTCATTAATTTAATTTACCATGTCTTTAATAAAGAGAGAGCTTACCCAGCACATTTACAAATGCATTTGCCAGTAAATATCCATATTCGTTAGAGGCATTGCACTGATACACCGCACTTGATCTTTCTTGAACATTTGAAAAAATAATGGTATCGCCATCTATTTTTCTGCTGGGGTCATCAGGGGCAACTGTTTGGGTGTAAAAATAAAAAGTAAATATTTATTCCGTTTTGCTTAAAAGACGTATATTAAACTTGTGAAGCTGAGGTCCACATTATATAGTAAGCAGAACAGAAACACACTAGGTACAGGCAGTGAGAAGGAGAAGACTAAGAACCCAGCCAGAAATCATAATTTTTCTTCCTCAGAATTTAGTTATCACTTATGAGCAGGAGTATATGCTCGATATTCATTCAGTCTTAAATGGATTGATTCTGTAAGACTGAATATTGTTTTGAGAGATGCAGGGGAAAAAAAGCACAAGTTAGGTGAAAATTGCTATACAAATTCAGGAAAACATTGCCTTGTTCACAAAGAAACTGTGGTTATTTACGAGGAGGAAATTTTATTATCCAGAGGATAATTTTACAGCAAAAGTTAGTCAAAAAATATAGAAACCCTCTAGCTCATCCAAACCTGTGTCTTTTAAGAGCCTCTTATTGAAATAAATAGATAAATAAATAAGTACGTAAATAAATATAGGGCTAAAAATCAAATGTGAAAATATTTATTTTCCTGTTTTGGAAATTCTGAGGCTGATGTAGAAATAAATTGTGTAAAGTTTCTCCTCAAGGTAATATTTTCAGCTAAATCTCTCAAGTACTTAAAAAAAATGTTAAGGCCAGGATTGATCCTTAGTGAAGTGAGATGGAGCTGGCTGGGCAACATAATAGGTGAGAATTTAGTCCACGGCATGCCCAACCATTTGGATATGCTGTGCCGTTGCAGATAAATTCCCTTTTGTGAATGCTAAACCTTAGGCTGTGACCTTACATTGCTCTAAAAGTATACTGAAAGGGGTAGTCGTATCTGCCTCAGCATGCTGATCAAAATTAAAACTATGCAGCAGCACCCTTTCTCTTAAACTGCTCTTGCAATGTGAACCACTTAAGTAGGCTCTAGTTTCATTCTAAATACCATTTATCCTCTTTGATGACAGAAAAAGCATGTGCATCTAAGACATATTTATCACTGCATTTAGATTCCTTTATCACTTTAAAATCTAAAATATTTGGTTCATTTGTGGTTTATTAACTCACTTTAATAAAAATAAATCAAACTATGTTACTCATCCTTGTTTTATTACACATATTCAAAGTATTGTACTCACTCATTCTATATCAGTTTTTAACTGCTGCTGTAATCATCTTAGCTACTCCAGCTCGTTCAACCAGTGATAGGGGTGTGCCAACATACTTTGATTGGCTTCTTGGCTCATATCTGCTGTTTATGACTCTAATAATTTCAAAATTGCCTTAAGGATCATGTTCTTCCAACCAGAAGACAAATTAGTTATATTAGACAAAAAGTTCTAATTCCTTTAACAGGGGAGAGATTTCATCAGTAAATGACAGCAGAGGACAGAAATGTCACAGTGGCTAAGGAAGTGAACTACAGCTGGGGCAGGCAGCTGAGTACTCTGAGAACTCACTCTACCTCAGGGCAGCCCCTGTTCCTTGTGCCAGATCCCAAGTCTAGTATCACGGGGGCCTTTCTGACCCACCTGCTCTCAGTAACGTCCATCCACTGCCTCAGCCAGGCGCGCTGGACGGAACAGCATTTCTGGAGTCTCCTTCTCCGTCAACTATTCTTAGCACTTTTGGACCCAGCACTTGGGCTGAGTGCTGAGTGCTGGGACTCCTCAGGGGACTCTCAGGGCCCACTCTGTGTCCATTCTGACTGCACCTCTGGGGACATGCCAGGCAGTGGAGGGCCAGGAGTGCAGCGCCTGGGCACTTAGATAGTGAGGAGGCCCAGGGAGAGCTCTGGGCCGGATCTCTCTGGATGGCTGGCAGACTGTGTGAGATGAGCTCTTCACGTTCCTTGAGTATACTGATCTCTAAAAAGTTACACCACTGTGTGTGGTTTAATGGGCACGGAGTTGCAGATTTGCAAGATGAAAAAGGTCTGGAGATCTGTTTCACAATGATGTGAATATACTTACCACTACTGAACTGTACACTTAAAAATGGTTAAGAGGGTAAATTTTATGTTATGTGTTTTTTAGCTACAATAAGAAAAAAGTTACATCACCATGAACATGGCAGACCAGCTCAATCAAAGCCAATGGGACGATGTTCCCCCAGGGGGACGCATCAGTCACAACATAAACCATTTTAAAGAGCTTTTATGTAACCCACGTTACAGTTTTCTTTCCTATCAACTCTTTTCCATGTTATTCTTTATCCGAAAGGCATCTAACTGTATCTGCCTTATTTCTGCTAAATGGACCAGTTGTCAAATATTTATTTTTGGTAAGGTATTTAGGAATAAAATAAACCCTTTAGGTAGAGCAGTGAAGAAGCAAATCTTTCTCCATGGGAATTTGGGCTACATTTTCCTTAAGCACTTACTAAAGAAACACAAACAAACCCAGAACTGTCACGGTGACATATGGAGTCTCAGCTGGTAGTTGGACAAAGAAGGAAATCGCTAGCGCAGAGATATTTGAAGCCTTTGGAATCTGTGTGCTGGCTACAGGGTGGGAGTAACTCTCCAGCATCTGAACCCAAATTATCCAAAGGAATAATAATTAATTCTGGGAATAACCAACATCATTTCCTAAAAATGAACACTGGAGAAAGAAATTTAAGGTCATAGAATCACCACATACAACTTAAAACCCTAAGGGCAAGGTTCAGAACTGGGCTGCTAGCCTTCTAACAATACTTTATTTTATTCCAAATCCCCTGACATGGTGGGCCAAAACTATAAATATTTCCAACATTTAGATAATGAGAATAATAATAATTAGTGCCACCTTACATGTATAGAGTACCATTAATTTTGAAAATATTTTTATATCTATTGTATGGTATTATTTTAAAAGAAACTTTGTGAACTAGATTAACTAGATACTATATGCATTCTTTTTTTTTTTTTGGTGAGGAAGATCAGCCCTGAGCTAACATCCCTGCTAATCCTCCTCTTTTTGCTGAGGAAGACTGGCCCTGAGCTAACATCTATTGCCAATCCTCCTCCTTTTTTTCCCTTTTTCTCCCCAAAGCCCCAGTAGATAGTTGTATGTCATAGTTGCACATCCTTCTAGTTGCTGTATGTGGGACGCCGCCTCAGCATGGCCAGACAAGCCGTGCGTCAGTGCGCGCCTGGGATCTGAACCCTGGGCCGCCAGTAGTGGAGCGTGTGCACTTAACCGCTAAGCCATGGGGCGGGCCCCAAGTAAATGCATTTCAGAGATGAGAAACTAGAGACTGGAGCACTTAGTGGTTTGTTTAATGTAAGATTAATGCTCAGATTTTCTGAGTTAGTCTACTTTATAAACATCTTCTGAAATTTGAACATTTGGGCATAACACAGAATAAATCTCTGGGCGTAAGAGATGAGTTTGTTTCTTTATCTACTTATTCCATCCCCTTTAAGAGGATGCCAACTGAGCCCTTTACTTCTGAGAAAAGAAAGAAGGAAGATGCCCCAGTGGAATCTTGGGAATATCCTGGACCATGCCTCCATTCCCCTGGCTGCTTATCATGTGTTACTGGCTTCAATCTCTCCCTCCAAAGTCAGCAGAATACGTAATTGTGGCAGGAGATCTTCTGTCCATTTTCATTCCCTTCCTTCCTTCCCTTCCTCATCTGTTAGGGAAAAGGGACCTTTTAGCCTAATAATGGTGTGATCTTATATATGCCCCATTTGGAAGAATTGGAGAGATTTACCACAACTCACATGGGGCACAATTAAAGATCTACAAGTGTTAGGCTCTCCTGCTGCCTCCTAGGACAGGGACGGGATCATAGTGTCCTCCACCTTGGCTTTGGCCATTTTCTTTCTTCTGGTCCTGGGTTCTACTTCCACACCCTCCCAGACACTGCAGGTCACATAAGAAAATCAAAGTTCTCTTTCAGCATCAGCTCTCTGCAGCTGTGTTCTTTTTCCTGACTTCCGTAGATTGTTTAAAAAATATTTTAGGTGGTTTTGGGCAAATTCCATACAGCCTGGTTTTTGCTTCAAGGAAAATTTAAAGTAACCTGGCCAGTCCTGGGGGGACAGAGCTTTGGAAAACACTGAGATTACAGCTCAGACTCTTTTTGAACGAATTCTTCCGGTTTTGTAAAACAGTAAGTTCCAGGTCTAAAATACACAGTCACAAATCAATAACACTGAATTTTGCTAACAAAACCCAAGCCTTACCCCTCCCTCTCTCTGATCCTGCTTCTCCTTTTATAGTATTTATGTGCTCTTGGCAGCCAGAGCCTGCAGAGGTGGGAGGAGAGAGTGTCAGGGTCCTTAGGTCATCGCCCACAAGTCAGGAGTGGGGACGCTGTGTATCTGGTAGTACGGTCCCCTGAGAGTGTCTCTGTTGTGTGGCACCTGGCGGGGACGCTGCATAGCTCCCTGCACGATGATGCTGCAGAGGCACAGTCGTTCCCTACCCCTCACCCTCAGAAGCTGGTCCCCTCAAGGTTTCTGCAGCCTCCTAGGTGGAAGGTGGCCGCAAGCCAGCTTGTGCTTCCAGCTAACTTCTGGGGCCTACCCTAGGCCTCCCTGAAGGTTAGGAATCCAGACCATGCCAATTCCGTGCCACTGTGTGCTGCAGCAGATTCCGTTCTCTCCAGCTTACCCTTGCCTCTCTGCCATCCTCCCCCCAGGCCCCATCATTGCTGGAGGCAGCTGTGGGGTACACAACTCAGCAAACTGCAGATGAGAAACAAGCCCCAGTCCCCTGTTTCCAGAATGGTCCCCAAGGCAATTATGTTTAGGGGCCTCCAAATTCATGGGACAACTATCAAGCAGAGTAGAAAGGAGAGAGATACAAGGCTCCTCAAACTTCTACCAACTTTTTGACAGTTTTTGTCCTCATTTACTCCTTATATTGGATCAGGGGAGGTCAACACAAGGTGGGGGCATATAGGGTTCACATTGAATTCAGCTGTTTACAACTTAGTGTCTAGCCAAGAGGCCACTCAGCAGAAGCTGCAAATGGACCAGCTGCTGAGGGTGGGGGCAGGAACAGCAGTGTCCCTGCAGTATCATCATTCAGAGAGCTAAGAGGGTCCCTGCCAGGTGCCTCACGCTCATCAGCTTGTAGTTGTGAGATTCCAAACAGTAATCCATGTGCTTTTAGCTTGGCCACCAGATGTGGAGAAAGACACCTTTCCGGGACACTTCACCACACCTTGGTATAAATATTCAGCATCTGCTCCCTTTGCTTACATGCCGCATGCTGTTTCTCTCCTTGCCACCAGAGTGACTGCTCTGAGGCACACCAGAGGTCGAGGGACCCTGGCTTTGTAGGCACTGCAGAGTTCTGATCCTATCTTTGCTCAGCCTCCTGTTTTCCTTCCAGTGAGGACTTAACGAATATTTTGGGGATGGAAGAAATGAACTGACTTGGAATCTGATTTGAGAGATTTTGTTCTAACTCTTTCTGTTCTGGACCTAATCAGATGATTTGGGGTTACAGTATAAGGGCCCAACTTTTATCCCGGGACCACAGCCCTATGTGCCCCCCCCGAACAAACAGGCCTTTTGTAATTGATCCTCCCCCCTAAATATTCCATTTAAGGGGACTGTCTATAACGGTATTTACAAAGCTCTTAATATAAATGGAGGTACCAGGTTCCCTGAGAGGCCTGCCTATGCCGGGTTTGGAAGGACGACAAGCTGAATGAATCGGTAGGAAAGATTAGCTTCATTATTTAATCTCCCCTTGTTCTTGTGTCACTGACCCACCTACGTCTCAATTTTCCCTGCTTATAATTGCATTCTGGCTGCCGAGCTCAAGGATTTATCTTTTCAACATTCCCTGGCTCCCGGGTTCTCTCGCTGAGTGGCTAGTTGGAAGGCCCCTCCCACTCATCAGTGTCACTGAGGCCAGATCTCAGGTGCACATTTAACGTTCCACAAATGGGCACAGAACCTCTGAGCTGCAAAACGTGGTGCCAAAGTGCTGAGCATCCTCCATCCTTTATTGCCATTCTGTATGCATTCCTAAGAAAATCAGATGTTGTACCATCAAACTTCTTTTTTAGTTCTGGGCTTTCTTCCACCTTTTCTCTCGGTTTTCACTCATATGCACCTGAGAGAGGCAACAGCTCCCCAATGCACGACCACAAAGTACTCTCTGAAGTTCCCCCTGATCCTGATCATGGTTAAAACTGGGAGTGGAAATATCCAAATCCCATTCGCTGGCCTCTTTAGACTCTGTTTTCTCCCAGGAACATATTTCCTTTTGCAGCAAACAGTCTGTCTGTTTCAGTGTCTGATACCTACTGTGCTGTGTGACACAAACTCCTAATAAATACTCATGGAACAGGGTGCTCTTACTCAGTCTAGATCCACAGTTGTGAGACCCTGATAGTGAGAAACAGGGACTTGTGTCATTTAAAATCTGCCAGCAGTTTTCAGATCCATCTTAGGGTGAAGACTATTTCAGGAGAGCCAGTTTAATGGACCTTTTGGTTATATAAAAGTAGAACCAGTTTTTGATTCTGACTTGAAGGCAATGAGGAGCCAAGATGCTCTCCATATTAAGCCTGAGGGTTGTCTTGTGAGTAACGGATATCTTTGCAGATTATTATGCTATTGACTGGGAGGGTGAACCTGAGGCTGGGGTTTTAAACAGGAACTGATTTTCTCTCTCTCTGGGTCTAGGAGAAGGTCTGAACTCCAAGAAGGGGAAAATTTTCAAAGATTCTCCTGTGGGCAGCAGCTGGTAGCAGGTGGGGTGGGGAGAAAAAGGAGAGCTAGTGGCCTCTCTATGGATGGCCACGGCTTAAGAATCCGGGAGCAAGGAGGTGCAATACCCGTTTTAAGTTTTCTTTTTTCTCTGCTGTATTTCCCTTCTATTATCCTCAAGCCTTTACCCAAGCTTTGTAAAACTGGTCTTGGCTGTGACTTAGAAGATTAATGGGAGGGCCTGTGACGGCACTTGAGGAGACTGTTTTGGGCAGCACAGTGGCAGCTCAGAGAACTGGCTGAGAGAAAGAGCCGGGAGTGGTCCAGGGCACGTGGCTGAAGAGGAGGCACGCAGCAGCCAGGACTGTGCAAGTACTGCTCAAGGATGATCTCGGCAATACTCGGTGAGGGAAAACTGGTCAAAGATTGAGCGTCCTTGCATACGACGGGGGTCAGAGGATGTGTTCTTCTTTGGGTATTAAATGGGACGGTGACCTCTAAAGACTAAAGAACTTGGGAACATCTGGGCTATACTTCAGAATGAAAACTCTTTAAATTACTACAGCTATGTTTCTTATTCTTGTCACATCCACTGGCTCTATTCCTAGCCTCCCCACCCATCTCCTCTGACTCCTACGAGGTTTCCACAAACCACTTGACATTTTGAACAAAGAGGATAATCTGAACTTTTCAGTGATGTTTATTTCTGACCCTGTCATTCTTCCTTTGATCCATGTAAAAAACAGAGGAAATATTGCCAAGTCCTAATCAACACATACCATTATGTTAACGGCATAAACTATTCGGTCATAACAAATATCGAAAGGTAACAGAATAAAAATCTAAAGGTAATTTGGTGCCTCTATTCAACTTACATATGGCTTCCTTCTTTAACCCACTATTATCTCATCACCATTTGTTCACCCTTGAGATGTAGCTATGCTCTGAAAATACACTGCAACAGGAGCTAATCAAGGAAACTTACTTTCTATTGGGACTCCATTCGATAACCAGCTAATTCTGGGTTTGGGCTTGCCATTAGCTCTGCAGATCAGGGTTCCATCCTCTCCTGGGGACAGCACAAGATTTTGAGGTGCCATGATCCAGTATGGAGCCGCTTTATTGAGGAAAGAAAAAAAAACATAAAGATGTGAATCAATAAGTATTCTAGCAAATTTAGTATATTGAACTTTTAATAATAAAAATGAGTATTTTGCAAAGCATTTGTTAGTTTCATTTTCTTAGAGTGAATAAATTTATAACAGATGCTTCAAAGAACCCTTTAGATTTTCAAAAGAATGTTTAAAGAGACACACTGACATCTATGTATTATTTCTAGACCCTTTTGATACAAATATCATTGTCTCATTTTGCATTAAATTCATCAGACATCAAAGAGGTGACAGATTTATCTAAGGTTGTAGAGAAATTTACAGGTACAGAAAGGGCTAAGAAACATGAATTTAAATTCTGAGCCCTGTAGAATACATATAATTATACAATTATGGAGTAATTAAAAAAAACTTTGTATTTTATAAAAGTTGCGAAGTTAATATAGAGTGTTCCCATAAGCCCTTCACTTAGCTTTCTCTGAGACATTAACATCTTACATAACCATGGTACAGTTATCAAAACAAGATGTTAACATTGATACAATATCATTTACTAAACTACACGCTTTATTAGGATTTCCCCAGTTTTTCCACTAATGTCTTATTTCTGTCCCAGGACCCTGTCCTAGACACTGATTGCATTTATTTGTCACGTCTCCTTACATAGTTTCCCCCAATCTGACAGTTTCTTGGTCTTTCCTTATGTTTCACGACCTTGAGACTTTTAAAGAGTCCTGATCAGGGGCCGGCCCGGTGGCGCAAGCAGTCAAGTGCGCGCGCTCTGCTGCGGCGGCCCGGGGTTCGCCGGTTCGGATCCTGGGCGCACACCGACGCACTGCTTGGCAAGCCATGCTGTGGCGGCGTCCCATATAAAGTGGTGGAAGATGGGCACGGATGTTACCCCAGGGCCAATCTTCCTCAGCAAAAAAAGAGGAGGATTGGCAGATGTTAGCACAGGGCTGATCTCCTCACAAAAAAGAAAAAGATTAAAAAAAAAAAAAAAAGGAGTCCTGATCAGTTATTTTGTAGACTGTCTTTCAGCTTGGGTTTGTCTGATGTTTTCTCATGATTAGACTGAGGTTTTGAGTGATGGACCCTTCTGATTGCATCATATCAGGGAGGACATAATTAATCGACATGACTTATTACTGGTTATGTTAACCTTGACCACTTGGTTAAGGTGATGTCTGCCAGGTTTCTCCACTGTAAAGTTACCATTTTCCTGCTTTCCATACTCCACTCACTAGAAGTGAGTCACTAAGACTAGCCCACACTTAGGGATAGGGAAATTAAGCTCCATTTGTAGACATATGTTAAAATTTCCTCAGCGATTAATTTTTTTTGGGTGAGGGGAGAAGAAATACTTTGAAGCTGTGCAAATATCCTGGTTCTCCTTCAAGTTTCATCCACTAATTTTAGCATTCATCACCGGATCTTGCCTGCAGCAGTTCTAACTGTGGGATTCTAATAGTGATTTTCTATTAACCTCATTCTGTCTACATTTATTAATTGGAATTCTTCTGTAAGAAAGATTTGAGGGAGTGAATTTTTAACCTGATTTAGATGCACCATAAATAGCAATGAGAAGAGATTCAAGGTATCATGAATGTTGATATAAATTTACATTTATTATTATTGAAGAATGTAATCAAAGGCATATTTAATTGAAGATTTAGAGCCTCTCATGAAGGCAAGAGCAATGCATTTTAAACAGTGATATACCTTTAACTGTGACAGAAATGGTATGATGGATGGCTCCTAGTGCATTTTTTGCTATACATTGGTAATTTCCAGAGTCTGCTTCTGAAACCTGAATGATTTGCAGAGTTTTCTTAAAGTTCCTATAAAATGTCCGATTGATGGGTAGTGTTCCATCTTCTTTTATCCAGTAAATAACTGGGGTAGGCCTGATAAGATAAATAAATAATAGTGTTACAAAAAAAGAATTTCACCTAACCGCTTTTGAGGATGAATTTTCATGCAAGTTTGCAACAGATTCTTTACATAAAGATCATGAGAAATATATAGATATTTTAACTAGTGTCACATTTTTACAAATAATGCTCAAAACCTTATATTTAAGTCTGTAAGTTACCATTTTCACATAAGCAGAACTATACTAATTATGGCACACCATAAACTTGGACTTCAATGATGCAGTGAGAATGCCAGCAGGAGTTCCTTTACTGAAGGGACCTAATTATTTTCTTCAAAGTCTGCTCAATGAGGCACCCTTGGAAAATTTTACAGGAAGGTACTATATCAATCAAAAGAATTACCATGAAATTAATGATATCAAGTTATAATTTTTTATCAGCTAGATTTAAAAATGCACAGAGATAATAAAATATTTGTGCCCTTTAACTTTTATACACAATTCTATATCAAATGGAAGAACTTTTCTATTTTATAACATGCTATCTGATGATGTGAATGAAGTGATTAGAGGAATAGCGCTCTTTCCTTAATTTCATTATTAGTGATATTTAAAAATATTATACCAATTGATAAGAATAAATCAAACTTATGTTATTACTCACACCATTTCTCACCTGTGTTTCCTATTAAATCATGAAATATAGAGCCAAATGAAAGCCAGAACACAAGCTTAGAGTTAAAAGATCTGCTTCAAGGTCCCAGCCCTGTCCCTAAATTGCTCTCTGACCTTGGATCCCTGACCTCATTGGGCCTCAGTTGCCTTAAGGGGGACAATAATGTTGACTTGATCTAGTGACTTTAGAAGGTTTTCATGAGAGTAAAATCAAAATCCATTCAACACAAACATTTACTAAGCAGTGAACTGTAGACCAAGTGCTGAGTTGTGTGTTGAGAAGATAAAGCTGAAAAAAGAATGGCCCATGCCCTTAGGAAGAGACAATATTTGTCATTAGAAATGCAAGTGGAATTAACTGAATGTTTGTAGAATTGCTTTTGGGTTGTTCGGTTGAATAAAAATAATTGAACATAGATATTTGATGAAATAGCTTCTAAAATAAAACATACTATAAATATAAAAAGGTAGAAAATGTGAAATCATTTTGAGAAGTTGAAGATACTACACACATGTGGCATCTGATAACATATTATGATGTTTCCTTATAGTCAGATTAATCTGCGTCTCATATGATCCGAAGGTGAGAGGGTGATGGGGATAGAAGCACGAGATCACAGTTCAACTAAGTCATGAATTGTTGTAGAGGCCTACTGCTTCGCTGAGCAGTTGTTAAGAATGAGAAATATTTTGATTCTATGAGTCTTATGCTTCTTGGTTTGTAAGTCACAGAGCTCCAATCTTAGTTTTACAACATTTCAAGGTTTTAAAAATTCTTTTGGAAGTTTTATGCAATTTCCAAATACCGACCATATTTTAGTTTTTTATGTAATATATTATTGGTGGGAAGGGAAATCACTAAATTGTGCGAATGGTTACCTCTACTCCCAAAAGGTTGGAGGCTGGTAGATCAAACCAGGTTCTAACATAATGATGATGAAAATTGAAAGGGTTTTTTTAATTAAAAATTTTAACTTAATTTTTAATTTACTTAAAGATATATTTAACATATCTTTAAAAGGGGGTTTTCCTAGTTTTCAGTTACTTGAGGAACTGAGTAGTCTGTAGTGTGATTTCCTGACATGACCAGCAGAGGCCTCCATGTGTCTCCTGCAGTCAAGTTATTCCCGGAGGCAAATTCTGGGAAGAAATGTGAGATCATTGAGTTACCAGATCAAGGACAACACAGATCACAACACGTGATCACAACATGTTTCCAAGATTCCATTCAATGTTTTCAGCAAATGTGCCCATATCAATAGTACTTGCCCTATGCCGGGCAGGAGACGGGCTATGCAGAAGGTGTCCTCAAATGTGTCCCTCTGATCCGAGGCCTTCCTGCAACTCCTGTCAAGGGCACGTGGGTTCTGGGGGTGGCATCAGTTTTAAGGCATCAGATGAGATATTTGCAAAGAAGCTGGGCTTGTGACTTGCCAATAGGAAGTAGTAGAGGGACGGTGTGCCAGTTCCAAGGCTAGGCCCTAAGAGGCCATGTGTGCTTCTGTTGTTAGGAGAATAAACCAGGGCTAGACTGCTAGAGGGATGAGAGAAACTCACAGCCAAGAGCTCAGTTGCCCTGCTAACAGAAAGCAGATCCTCAGAATTGTGAACCCAAAGCTGAGCCACCTAGCAGATGCAAGAGCAGGCTCAATTGAAATTAGCTGGATCTAGTCTGCTATAGCACAACCGCCCTGCAGACCTGTAAACAAATGGTCAATGATAAATAGCTATAGTTTTTAAGCCACTAAGTTTTGAGGTGGTTTGTTCCACATCAGTAGCAAAATAATACACCCTAATTATAATCATAGCAATCAAAAGCTGATTACTGATACTTATTTCAAGAGGAACACTATCACATTAACAAAATATTTTAACAATATGAGATTCATATGGCCTATTTTGGAAAAAGTGATCAAATTTTTCTTGATGTTTGATGGAATTGGTATAAGACAATGGCACTTCCTATGATATTAATGTCTCTCTACCAATCTACTATGTTTTTATAAGAAATGTACATCAAGTGTTGTTCACCAAACGTATATCAATGTACAAGAAAGTGTTGACTCACAGTCCTTCTGCAATGCACTCTAGTGAAAGGACATTTCCTCTTAATTCTTCTTTGTTACTTGCATTGCCTTCTGGAGTTAAAAATGTTGGTGGCCTCTCTCTACTTGATTTAGCTGCAAACAAGAAAATCAATATGCATTAAAAGTTATCAATATGTATTTTTAGAAACACAGTTCACTGTCTAAAAATCTAATCCCTTTTCAAAACCATTTAACATTGATTGTGAAATCTGTTAAACAACACATACACACTCTCTGCCTTACAAATGGCCATCACTCACTCAGCCAGAAATAAAAATAATTTTGGTTGCATAAGCACTAATGGTAAGGACTATTTTCTTTTTGTACATGTCCTTAAATTGGGTTAGGTTTTCATGAATTTTCAGTGGGTTGGCAAATTTTCAAAATGCAGACAGAGAGAGGAAAATCATGTTAACAAACCATCTATCCCTTAAGATTAGTGCTCGGGTCAAACAGAAAATTACCTGTCTATCTTCTGGAAGATGTTAGGTTTTTCTGAAAGGAATGACTGTGGAAGGAGCATTTTGGGTTACACTAAGGACAACATCATAGTCGATTTCCTTGACTAACCATGGAGATAAATCTGTGGTGGACGTGTAACATATCAAGACCCCCAAACTGCAAGGTTTACGGAAAACAAAACAAAACTAGAGAGTTACTGGCAGAGGTGTGCAAATTGTGCGCCATAAATTAAGAAGTGGTGTAGTTCAATAAATTGAAATCGGTTTCCTCAATGGAAAAACAAAGAGCGCTCAAGTTAGAGATCTCAGGGAGATTTACACAGGCTACCTTCTTTCATATGGAGATGTTGCCTAAATGTGGCCTTATCTTCTGATGACCTCTCAGAAAAACTTAAAGCAGAAATCATACCATCTTAAGGTTCTATGGCCCTTGACAGTTTTCAACACTTTAATGCATTATCTATTTGACACTCACAAAAACTGAATGAAAAGGTAATATATGAATTATTCTCATTTCTCAAAAAAAAAAAAGAATATCAGAGAAGGTATTACTTGAGAGAAATTAGAGTTTTTCTAAGATTTTAGAGATTGTGGAGGAAACCTTACCCCTCTGAAATCACTTTGGGAATGGTTTTGAAGCCCATATTTTTCAGGAGTATATTAAAATAAAATAAAGTAAGGCAGGAGTTGTGGTATGTCTGCTCTGCTCATTGATAGTACATTGATACTATCTTAATGTTTTTTTACTTCATATCTCAAGGGTAAAAAATTAATACAGCAGAAATTCTGCCGTATAGATAATTAAGAGGACCCCATATCCAGAACCATAATTTTCATCGATAGACTCTATACTTGAAAGCCACATTTACCTAAAGGAGATCAATTTCTTTTTAAAAGAATGAAGTTAAACTCTCTATTTTTAAAAAGATTACTTCCACTGAAGATAGTGACTCTGTTTTAAACGAAACTAAGAGAAATACTATTGCTAATTATTTGACATCGATAACATCATGTGAAAACAGATAGGAAATGTGATGATTCACTATCAAAATCCACTTAATGTTAGTTGCTGTAGGTTACTAAGACCTTGATGAGTTAGAATTCTAGCAGGTTAATGCATCCTGCCAACTCTTAGTTCATGAGAAAAGTTTATGAACAAGACAAAAAATGAAAAATATAATTCTGAATGTACAAGAAAGATTTTTTCCAAATCACGAGAAATGGTTCTTTACATGAAAACAGTTATAACAATTTTCATTATTATACATACAACATGGAAGATGTTTTAGTGACATGTTTGAAAGCTTATAGCTAAATTTCATAAGAAACATACAATTTATTCTAGTAGTACTAAACATGTAACTAGGAATTTCATAAAGAAATAAGGTTAAATAGCCATGGAGGTGAAGTTAGTAAACTAAATTCTACAATGAAGGAGAGAATATCAGTTACAATCACCATAACTCACCACCATAAAACTCAGTGTCACTCAAATTAGCAGCTATAGTGTCATTCAATTCATCCACTGAAATAAACAGAATATTATGAAAAATGCATAAAAGGTGGGGAGAAAGTATTGTAAAAAAAAAAAAAGTATTGGGCAACAAAAGCAAACAAATGCAGGTATACTGCGCAAGTGCATCCCTACCAAGTAAAAACAGTCCTTTGCAGTGTACACAACTAGCTCATTGATTCACTCAGCCACCCCAACCAGTAATACGTGAATATATATCTGAAGCTGCAGGACTGCCAATTGAAGGCATCGTGGGGCATAAAGCACATGCAAATGCTCAGAACACCAAGTAGATTCAGAAAGTTATCGTGGAAACAGTAATGGTAATAACAGCAAAAAATATAAAATACAGTATTTAGGGTATGCATGCTCTTTATAATACATATGCCAACTATTCACAGGTAGTTTCCTGATCAATGAACCTGTTTACTTCAAAGTCAATAGTATTTAACAGTTAATATATTTTGAGCCCATTTGTAAACATGATTGAAAGATTCAGGAAGCTGAACTGTTACCTGAAATCACTTTCACAGAAATAGGTTGCTTCTGCTGTATGGTTTGAGTGTGATTAAATCGGGCATAGCAGATATAGTCTTCACGGGTATCCTCCGGGAGAACATTGGAAAAATAAAGGTCTCCATTCAGACCCTGGGAAACCCTCTCACTTTGTGGAAGTCTTTGAAAGGCTGGAGAAAGGCAGAGAGATATCCAGATCATTCCATCATAAAGTAGCCACTTTCCAAATCAGCAAGATAAATGTATCTACAAATAGTTTTGTGAATTTCTCTGGAGTGGGGGCAGAGGTGAGATCAGAGGTTTACAGTGAAGTGTTTTATTAAGCAAGTGTAGACAAAAAAATGTTTTACAAAAAGAGTTTGTGTGACTTTCCCTAGTATTTAAATCAGTCCCTACTTGTTAAACACATATACACACGTATCTTAGAAAATGCATTCAGGAAGCTCGTAATGATGTTAACATGGGTTGCATCTACATATACATGGTCAGACACGCAATACTGTGGGAGCACCTAACTGTGAGCGAGGCCCTGAGCAATGTGTCGGGCATGCCAGGGTCCCTGCCGTGAGCACCTGATTTAATTGAAGAATCAGGCAGCAAACAGGCAAGTAACAATAGGGTGTGATGATGACACTATTTGATGCTGCAGACATGCTCATCAGAGGCCCCCACACCCAGCCTCCCTCATCTCTACTTTTTCTTTTCTGAATTACTTATCACCTTCTAACTTACAACGTATTTCCCTTGTCATAAGTATGGCTTATTGCCTGTCTCCCTGCACTAGAATTTAAGACAAACACCATCATCTGCTTTGTCTACTGTTGTAGCACTGAAACTGCACCTGGCCCTTAACAGGTGAAGAACTGTCAGCACTCATTGACTTCAAGTTTCACATCTACTTCCCCTCCGGTCGAGTTAAGTAACTGTCTAGCCTCAGGCGCCAAGGGAAGATTTTTCTAAGTAGACGAAGGACTCAGGGAGGTGGGACCACTGATCTACGAGTGAATTTATACTTGGCTGGCTCACACGCACCATGAAGCTTCTGACTCCGTCCACAGGGCCTTAGCTGTGAGAGTTCTTCAGCTCTGAAGGGAGAGAAAATCGCACATCCCAGTTGCCTTGGGCCAGGTGTTGTCCCCCAGAGGATTTCTCCAGTCTGACTCAAGCCATTGCTCCTCATGCAGCGGGAGCCCTAGCTAACATTTCATGAAATGTAAAATTATAGTTAAAAGCCTGCCGCTGCCTTGGGCAGGAAACGGCAGGGACATGTGGAGCCAGAGCTTGAAGGAACGCTGGTTAGCTACGTTAACCAAGTTCTTGGTCAAGAAAGGTGTTTGGTTGGGGGTTGTAAATTCATGGTTTTAATCCATCAATCCCTAGGGAAAGGGTTGTTTTAAAAGTAACTCAGACAGAAAATGTACATTTATTTAATGAATACAAAGAGTTAAAGATAAGCATACATTTATTCTCTTCCATTTCTCCTGCTGTATTTTATTATTGACAGATGTTGCTAGATCAAATTAAAGGGAATGGGACTTTATGAAGATGGTAGGTAGCACTTTGCCCCTTGAGCTCCTTTGCATTACATTAAAAAAAAAATTGTATGCAGACAGGAATAACTTGATAATGTCATCTTGCAAGAAGAATGCTGTACGGATCTGAATTTTTTCTCATATTCCAGATGTAGTTTCATTTGAAAGGTCCAGACGATTTGCCAATAGCTTAAAAAGTATGTAAATGACATAGCCAGCAATGCAATATGGAAAAAAAATTAATTAGATATTCAGATGATTCTGAGACATTATATGTATATGTCTCCTTATTAGGTGGAAAGGTCATCATTTCTGATTAAGAACCATGGCCCAAATACTGGGACTCATGTTGGCAGTGACATTTGGATTCTGTTATTCTCGATGCCATACACACTTATTTACATTTGATTTGTTACTTATTCTTTCAAAATCTGTAAAAACTGTTATGTAATACCAGGAAAAATACGTTTGTTCATTTATATATTTATTTTCCACTTCTTTGTGATGCTTTCTCTGAGTGCTTTCATATAAGAAGAGTCAAAAAGGGAAATTAAATGTTAGAGCTAAATTTTATCTTTAGTAATGTGTACAGCCTGTGATTTCAGAGGAAATCATGTCACTGGGAATAGAATATATTCCCTATAAATATTTTGCCTTCATTCCCCCATTCCACCTAAATGACTCTGAGGTCCACAGCGACCTCCATGTTGCCAAATTCAACAGTCATTTCTCAGTCAGATCAGAGGTTACCTAATCTATCAGTAGCATCTGAAACAGTTGATTGTTCTGTCTTCTTGACACTCTTTCTTCACTTTGTCCTGGGGACACCGCTCTCTTTGTTCTCTTCTTACCTCAGTGACTGCTCCTTCTCATTTGCTTTGCTAGTTTCTCCCCAAGGTCTTGGACCCTGGAGGGCTCCTGGTCTCAGTCGCCTGCTCTTCACTGCCTGTACTCTCTCCCTCAGTTCTCTCATCAGCCCTTGGCTCTAAGGAGCACCTGTGCACTAACATGCATACATTGCTGACTAGAGCCCTGAATCTTCTTCTGACCCATGTAGCTCTGACTCCTCCTGCTGGGCATCTCCACAGGGATGTCTTACACATCTCACATCCAAAACCCTGGTTCTCTAGTCTCCATGCTACCTCTAAGGTAACATGCTAACCTATTAGCACAGGAGGTTTTGGAGGGTGGGAGAGGCAGAACAACTAACAATTCCCTCAAGGATAGGGATGGGGTGGACAAATGTTAAATTGCCTAATGGATGACTTCATGTCTCTGTGCCTTGGTTTCCTCATCTGAGAAGTGGAAAGAATAATCAGACATGCCTCTTAGGGTTGTTGTAAAAAACTGATGAGATAGCCCACATAAAGTCCTTAGCAAAGGGACTGGCACTTAGTAAATGCCTAATAAATATTGGCTGTTGTCAGGGATAAAAAGCCAAAAACTGAATGAAAAAATATAGCACATCCAAAACAGCTTGATTTTCTCCTCTATGGGCTTCTGCTGTTTCAGGAAATGGCAATTCCATTTTATTAGTTGTTCAGTTTCAACTTTGTAGTTTGATTCCTTTCTCTCATGCCCCCAACTCGACCCCAACAAATCCCAGAGGATCCACCTTCAAAATATATGCAGAATTTGACCATTTCTCACCCACTCGCTGACACTACCTGCGACTAAGTCCCTATCAACTCTCGCCTGGATGACAGCAGTGGCCTCCTGACAGCTCTCCCCACTCTCCCTCTGGTCCTCTCCATTCTCCACACATGAACTGAAGTGATGCTACTGCTATTTATTTTGTTTCAGGTGGAGTCACTCCTTCAGTGTCTCCCTACTTCATTCAGAGCAAAATCAAAGCCCTTTGCATTGAGCCCCTGGACCTTTCTGACCTTTTCCATCACTCTCCCCCTTGGCTCACTCAGTCTGGCCACACTGGCCTTCCCGCTGCTTCTGACACACACCAGGGTGCTCCTGCCTTAGGGGCCAACATCAGTCTTCCCTTCCCACCCCTATACGAAGGCGCCTGCTTTGCTCTCTCATTCCTTTAAGTCTCTGGCTCAAAAGTCTGCTTATTTTTCTTCATAGCACTTATTGCCAACCGACACATGTTTTAAATGCATTTACCGTCTGCTTCCTTCTCCGCCCCCATCTATTTCCACTGCATAGAATACAAGCCCAGGGAAAGCAGGACATTTGTTTGATTTATTCAGAGTGGTGTCTGGTACATAGTAGGTGCTTAATAAAATCGAGTGAGTGAATGCAATGACATGCTGTTTATTTCAATGAGCATTTATTTTCCTGAGTATCTCTAAAACATTTTATAAACATTTTATGAATCACAAGAGGTAATAATTTATTGTGACAGCAAATAATCATAAGACCCTCAAGGAAAGAAAGTTCATGTTTTTAAAACTTACAATTATCCATCCAGAATATTATAGGTGGTGGTAATCCAATCGGAGGTCTGCAGGGAAGTACTAAAGACTGGCCATTTTGAAGCATTATTGGTTCAAGTTTTTCTTTGGTCCACAATGGAGACCCTACGAAATAAAACAATAACTTTTAAGATGTTTCTGCATTGAAAAATAAAAAAAGCACTAGAAAGAAAGACAAATCAAACTTTTAGGGAAATAGTAATTTAGAATTTATGTACATTAAGATAACAAGAAAATTTTTAAACATAGTGTCACAAGTAAAAAAAAAATGACAATTTTTATTCATTGCCATTTATAGTATAAATTCTGAGTCAGCAATTCCATGTCTAAGAATTTATATTAAATAAATCATTAGGAAGATACATAATTTCGCTACAAGCATGTTCTCCTCAAAAGAATGGAAAACACCTAAATATCAAAAGATTTGTTAAATAAGTAACTTGTACATCTATACCTTTGAATACCATACAGTATTATAAGTATACTTATTTATAAGACTGATGTGAGAAAACACATGACATGTAGATAAGTCATAAAAGGTTACAAATGAGTACTTCAGAATGAGCTCGCTTTAAACGCATACAGGCATACGTGCCTAGGAAAAATAGAAAGAGCTGGAATTATTTCCTTGAGTGGAAAGATTCATGAGTAATTTTTAAATTTCTTTTTTCTTTTATTTGTAATTAATTTTTTTCTATACTGAACACATATTACACATGTAATAAAAGAAAGTTTTTAAAATGACCAGAACTGCAAACGGTCACTGTTCTTTAAATTTATGCCCTTGGGTACTGACCACTGCAAAAACGACCCACAATGATATCAGGATAACGAGGCCACTCTATTTCCAGTGAAATTTTGAAACAAAAATGTTTAAAGAAATAACACTTAGACCTCAATTAGCCATTTCATACTGAATTTATTTCCATCTGGCTGTACGAAGTTTGCTCTTACATAAGATACATGAGAAACTAATAATTAGCTCAATTCAGGGAAGAAACACTTTTCTTACCCCTGGTGTTTTCTTCTGGACTTGTATAAAAGATGGATTGGGTTGGCAAAGCATTAGGCTGAGGAATTTAGGGTAAAGTGGAAGGAGCAATAATTTTCATGCAAAACAAAGTCAGAGTATAGGAATCAACGCCATTGCTTTCTTGTAATAGTATCTGGGTGATATAACACATGTTGAGTCTTGGAGCCGTACTTTAAAACGGGCCCTGTTTGACGGACAAGTCCCACTTACTGGATGGACGCACGACAATGTTATTAGAAACGGCAGCTCCACGTTCATTCCTGGCTGTACACTGATAGACTCCCTCATAGGTCTCTGCTTTCCCTTCGCTCATGATGTTGATGATGAGGGTTCCTGAGCCGGGCTTCATGGCGACAAGAGGGTCTTTATCTACGTCAAAATGAGTCCCATTTCGGGTCCAGGAGAAGCTGCCCAACACATAAGGGATTAAGCTTGTTAACAGTCCAGAAAAACAGGATTACTTAACTCTTTAACAAATTACTTGCAGTTTTATGGGTTACTAGAAATAATTATTAGATTTTAGTATTCAGTAAAAGAGCAATAGGCTCCAGACCTAACTGTTTCATTGAATCAGGACTTAGAAAAAGTGCTGGCCATACATTTTAAGGTACGTGTCTTCATTAGAACTAGCTGAAATCGGACTCAATAAAGAAATCATGCACACAAATTGCCTGTCATTTTTCAAAGACAAATACAGGAAGCAGGTCTCTGAGGCACACTCTCTTAGAGCTTTATTAGCATTTTTATTGTAAACTCCATTGTTCATAGAGTTGATAACCTGTCTATAAAAATTTGCTCTGGGCTGAAATGTGACAAGAAAGGCCTTCACAAGTACTAATATATGTGTGTGTTTAAAAGTGATCAGACCATTTCAAGTTACCAAAATGCAAAGTCTATGTTGGGAGGAGGGGAAGAAATATGACTTCAGTGGGTGTTTTAAATATTGGTTATCAAAAGTGGTAATTCTATATAAAATATATTTTGAGAATTTTTAATTCTAGATATGATTTTGTAAATTCCTTAGGAAGTATTTCAAATTGTCAACCGAAATTCTTCTTTCTCAGTTTTATTTATAGAAAAGATTGCCTTATATAAAAGTCACAGTGCTCATGTAGTTAAATACTCTATAACTAGTCACAAATCAACAATGGCCATGCTCATACAGAGGCATGAATCTCTCAACTTTACTCTGCTTTCCAGGCTCACTTGGACTTCCTTTCCCACTGCTTATCCTATTTATAGCAGTGGTTGTCATTGCTAGAGGGGGAGGTGGTGATGGTGGGTGCTACTGGCATATAGTAGGTAGAGGCCAGGGATGCTGCTAAATGTCCTGCAATGCACAGCACAGCCCCCATCCCCAAAACAAAAAATTATCTGGCCCACAATATCAGTAGTGCTGAGGTGGGGAAATGGTGCCTTACAGAGAGTCACAGGAGGTATTAAGTAGGTGTGAAACCAAAGGGGAACTCCATCAAATGACATCACATTAAGGTCTGAGTGCCAGAGGGTTTCTAACCATACGGTAGAATATATTGTTCTGAAGCAAACCTTTGATGCAAGTTTTTGATATACTTAAGTAATTAGTACCAGTTAATTTTTTCTCAGGTGCCAGTCTGTGATATTTTGTTAAGACTGGTAATAGACAAACTCAGAAATAAAATATTTAGAAACTTTCACTTCTTTATTCCTTAAAAATCCACACTATACTCTAATAATAATAATAATCCAGCTCTCCACAACTCCCATATATTACTGGACAAGTTACAGATCATTCACTAATTAGCTGCAGAACCTTGGCTAAGTAACCTAGCAGTACTGGGTAACAGATTCCCATCTATAAAATATATTGGTTGGACCAGATAATCTCTGATGTCTCTCCCAACTCTAAAATGCTATGCAGCGCTCATGCCAAGATCCATATGGAAAATCCTGAGTCCTGAACCCTGCCAAGCTTGGAAAACCACCTAGAACTATTTTGTAGATGTCTATAGAGCTAGGAGAGATCTTAGAAGTCATCAAATTCAACTTCTTTATTTTACAGGTAAAGAAACTGAGGCCCAGAGGAAATGGATTTGTCCATGTGATGATGCCATTAGAGCCATTAAACTATTTTTCCACACCTTCCCACAATTTTTGAGCATTTCGCAGAAGGGTATGAGTACAGAAATGCAATCATCTGGGTTTTTAAGAAGAACAAACTGACTTTAATTAAGCAGAGACACAAAACAATGAACCTACAAATGATACTTTAGAGATATGCAGGATCTGAAATTAACGTCAATCTTAGTATCAATGCTAACCATAACAAAGGAAAGCACACTCACCTGGGAGGAGGTTTCCCTTTGGCCTCACACTGGATTACAATATTCTCCCGAGGGTCAATAATGTAATCTTTTGGAGACTGTTGAGTAATGGTTGGAGGCTGTACCACTTAATTGTAGAAAGAAGAACAATGTAAAGAAATAAAGCATTTAGTATCCCAATAGCAATCATTTTTTTCTATATTAAAGTCACTTACCCTAGACCGAACCCCCTCGAAAATCTTTTAGTAATTTCTACTGTGGCAGCACACACCTCACTAGACTTTTAACTTAAAAGTCTCCTAAAACTTTGAAGTCAAGGCATAACTTCCTTCTGGCAATTTTATATGCACTCACAAAGCCCACTTTCCCTCACTATAAGTTTGGGAAAATAATTACCAATACAAGCTTAAAATTAAGACCATTTCGTTTCTGATGTAACAATGAGAAATTCCTCTTATTCCTTTGGTTCAAACAATGCCTTTCAATGAAATTTAAGTTATGAGGTAAATTTGCATTTCTTAGGAAAGAGTAACTGACTTACAGTTCCTTAGTGTGCTAATGTAAATTAATATATGTTGGGAACAAATAAATTTGACTCATTAATATTAAAAAGATGGTTAAATTAGAGACTTGACACGTCTTATTAGAGCCAGGAGGTAGGTGGCTACTAGGAACAAAGATAAAACAGTCTTATTTAGAAGATAAATGGAATTGTGAAGTTCTCTGTGATAGAAGACAATATTTCCATTTCACTCTGGAAACTGTTATCTGATCATTTATTATCAGATTGTAGGGGGAGACTGTTCTGATCCAGAACAATTTAATCTGAAGAGTTGGTTCTAATCTAATGTCCAAAATCTAACGTCCAATGCTGTAATCTAAGATTACCATGTCCTTCTTCTGGTGAAATCAGAAGCACAGAGTGTTAGAACAGGAAGGGACTGGAGATACAATGTATTTCAACTTCTTTTGTTGCTCAGGGCAGCAAAATAGCTTGACTAGGAAAGCACAAAGCAGAGAAAAGAATCAAATTCTCCTGGTAGGAGCCACTGCCTTGCACAACTCCAGGAAGAGCTATTTACATGGATCAGTGGTTCTCAATCAGGGGCAATTTGCCCCCACCTCTCAGGGGACATGTGGCCACATCTGGAAACAATTTTGGTTGTCACCACTGGGGTCGGGGGTGGTACTGGCATCTGGCGGGTAGAGGCCAAGGATGCTGCTAAACATCTTACAAGGTGCAGAACTGCCCCCGCAACAAAGACTTCTCTGGATCATTTAAGTGTTTCATATTCTGGAGCTTCCCTTTCCTCCTGCCCATGCTCTATGCTTCCTTTGTGAAAACTCTTCCACCTGCCAACCAAGTGTTTCACAAAGCTTAACAACTGCCCTCTGCTTTTATCTTTCTTTACTACAGTTAATCGTTGCCAGGGCTAAATTTGTCACTTCCATGTCTAATGTCTTATAAATCTGCAAACATGGTTCTATTCTCTTGCTTTGTCTCCAATCTTGTTGCTGTCCACCAGACATCTCTTACTAAATATCCAACTGACACCTAAAATACAGATCAAAAGCTAAACTCATTATTGTGATCATTTATTGTGTACCTATTAAATGCAGGATACTGGACAGTGTCAATTTCCCCTCCCTTTAGCAAGATCCATCCCCCCCTTACCCTCTTGCTCAGCCAGCTGCTCTTTCCAGCCTCCACCACTATACACAGAACCCTCTTTCTTCCAGCCCCATCAGTTCCCAGTGCTGGTTAGCAGTTTGGTCTGGTAGAGAAGAGCTAGTCTGTTTGTGTCTTACCAGCCATGAGACTTCAAGCAACTTTATTAACTTCTGTAAGCCCTACTTTCCTTAGAGGGAAAATGGGGTTTAAAAGTAGCATCTACCTCCTCCCTCCTTGTGCTTTTCTGTGAGTGACAGAGGTGCAAGTCTGGTTGTTTCACACCCAGAACTTCTATCCATATGTCTGCAACAGAGCCAGCTTAGATGCCACTCCTAACTGCCAGGGGTTTACTGTCTAGCCGTACCTATTTGAACAGTGTTTAGGTCACCTGGCAACTAACAAATGCTTTGAAGTAATAAAGGAAAAAGGTGATTTTACATAATTTTCTCGGTTAATGCCCTATCAAAGGATTTTTCAGATGCCTAAAACTTTTTTAGGTAGATGATAGACGCTGCCCAGCTCTCAGAGGCAGCAGAAGTCTTTGCTTACAGCGACCCACTCAGAAACGATGTGAGTGGAGGCTGCTTATTTGTCTTGAGCACACTTCCAAACAGTAAGCAAATTCACTGGGTCACTATACTGATGACACCTAGAAACACTAGTCTACCCAGTCCTGCAGCCTGAAGAAATATAAGAGGGCGTAGAGCTGTTGACTTGGGTGAAGCATCTGCACGCACCCACCTTCTAGAAGATACCAAAAGACATATCTTTATTCCAGCAAGCATTTAGAATCAGACAGTCATTCTCTTTAAATTTTGTGAATTTTCTCATTGAGTTACATCAGATGTGAATGAAGCTTGGAAGTTAGTAGAGCAGAATATTGGTAAAAGAAAAAGAGTATTAATACCTGAGTCTTCAGAATTCATGCAGGGAATATATTAAACTTGCTTCTTGGTATTTAAATGCAATGTTTAGCCACAGTAAATACACATGCTTAAAGAGACGTTAGGCACAAAACACACAAAATTGTGCACTTAATTCCCAGTATCAATTCAAAAACAAACACATGGTCAAATTTTCACACTGCCTGGTAATTACAGAAAGACACTTACAATCTTCAAGAAGTTTTGCTTTTTCCCCATCAATATCAGCAGATGAGTGGGCAAACAGGATTAAAGAAAACCAGATGTTAGTAACAAGAACGTTAGAACCCTGAAGATAAAAGGGGCATCTTATCTATTTGATTTGACCTAAAAAACCAGTACAGCAAAGGTTGAAGTTGTGAGAGAAAGAAACTCCCATTAATGGTTTTGTTTATTCCTGCAGCATCTATCTCACATAAACCTATGGGAGAACAAAGAGAATGCTATAGGCAAAAAATGATCCTTCCAGGAATAGGAATGGCTAATTCCATTCCATACATGTTGTGCTGGACAAGTAATTATGTTCGATTTGAAAAATCGCTGAAATCTACAATTAATCTGAGTTGTCACATACTGTGTAGTGTCTGATCCTATTATCCCAGACATCACTATGCACATGGTAATAATACCTAACAATGGGACATCGCTATAATGACAGTGCTCCATCCAAGTCAAATCCAACACTGATTTTAGGGTTTTATATTTCTATGGTTAATCCCCAAGTCAGTAATTGAACTTTTCAGACTGTTAGTATACTTCTGCTTCAGAATTTCTCAATCACCAGGGATTGCTAGTACCCACGCCAAGAAGCAGCTCATGTAGAAGGGGTGGAAGGAATAGGGGCAGGGGAGAAATGACAATTGTATATAATTCAAACGATTCTGCAGTGCTGCCTGTCGTTATTACTTGCAAAGGTTAATGCAGGAGCACCTGGGTTGTCCACGACTTTCTTTTCATCGTGGTTCTGCCTCTTCTCCATTAGCAGCGATAACTGAGTTAGCCTTAGGTGACTGTTTCCCTCTGATTGTCAGATTGAGCAGTCAGATTAAGGGGGAATATATTTAACACAAGAGAGAACAAAAGCATTTCTCTCAAGTGCTTTTCTTTCTCTCCTATATATCTGTTAGGGAAAATGCTTACTTAGGCATTCCAACAGGCTTAACCATTCATATATATATATATATCTTCAGAATTGAAATTAAGGTCATTGAATGAATATGTTTTGACAATAAGTAAAATATTGCATTTTATTATACTTTAGATGCACAGCAAAGGAAGTCAACAAAGTGTGGGGCAAACCACATCTCTTCTAATGTCTTCCCATAGGCAATTGCAACCTCTTTGGCAAAAAATGACATCCCAACAACTGAACAGCCCCAGGAAAGTGCCATCTTCCTTGCACCTTGGAAAGTCTGCCAAACAGATGTTCTATTCAGGAAGCTAATGGATTTAAAGAGGTCATGCAGATTAGGGATAAAGGAAAATCAATTCTGAAGTACAGTAATTGTCCAAATTGAAAAGTCTGCTTTCTATTGCAGGAAAAGTAACCACTTGGAACCCAGCATTATCTTTATTTTTCACAAACAGGCCACCCAGCCCAGGGAGAGTTCAGCACTTACTTTACTATCAGGAAAAGGGTGGGCTAATACAGTAGCTGTTACTTGCTCCATTTTAAATAGTGTTTTTGCAGATGACTTGTTTTATTCTCAAAATTTACATCTTGATCTTTGATCACGTTTTTTAAACCAAAAATGACCTTTCACTAGGCTTTAGATATGATACATTTCCTAGATCTAGACTCGTAGTTAAGATTCAAAATTTGAAAGTGAATTTTGCCTTGTCTGAATCAAGAGAAATGAATTATGGATAGTTTGGTGATACAGAGGGGGGTGGGGTTGGCCGAGAGACCATTCCGTAATCTCTTCCAGAGCACTCAGCATCTGAAGGGAGAGGGTGGAGAAGTGGGGAGGTCTCCAGGATTGCTTTAAAGTGATTCATACAATTTTCTTGCAGGACTGCTTCTACAAAGAGTTGCCTGTTGGGAGGATCAGGGCAGCACACAATGCACTCCTTCTCAGGCCAGCCCCACCGTGGTACACAAAAGGCATCTGAGGGGGAAGAAGGATAATGATAAGGAGGGGACAGTGTGTCTGACCGTTTCAATGGCCATTTCTATGGGGTGCTTCTTTATAAACACCAGGTGCTGAAGGTAACAGCCAAATTAATTTTGATTAGCTTTTCAGTATCACACAGACATCTTCTCCACTCACACAGTTCAGAGCGATGGTAAATGCTGGGGAGGTTTTGATTCTGGGGCCTAACAGCTTTAAAACGTTAATACTTACGATCAAGAGGTACTTCCAGTGCACTAATCATCTGGCACAGGAAGAGAATCAGGGGCGCTCTGCCTGCAGATAAGCACTTCTTTTTCGGCATTATTTTAAGCTGCATTAGCTTAACTCCCGCTGAGACCCACAAACTGAATTTCCTTTTCTTCTTTCACAAGAGATTTGTGTGCAACGTTTAAATAATTTTCATGCAGGGAACTAAAAAAGGATAGAATAAGAATTATAGTGTATTAAAAAGAAGGAAATGAAGAGCGGAAGTCTGCAGCACAGAAAATCAGTCCTGTATTATACATAAACTCTAAAAGGGAGCCAACTTTTAAATATTTAACTCTCAAGACTGGAATAATCATTTATTCACAGATCAGCCAAAATCAGGTCAGAAATATTTGTAGTGATGTCAAGCAAAATCTGTCTACTTTGCCATTCATATGGTTTTTCCATTTTAAATACCTGCATTTATATCAGAGGCTACCATGTCGTTCCTAATTGATCAGGAAAACTTGGCTTATAAATCAGTTAGAAAGTGTGACTTTAGAGGGGAGACCTAATGGCTTCTCCATTCTAGAGATTATCTCTGGGAAACTTCAGGGCATTGTTGCAAATTCACTTCAAATCCCAAACACTGATATACCAGCTGAATCACCGACAATTCCAGCCGTCCCCATCTCTCACCTAGACTACAGCAACAGATAAGCTCTGAGTTCCAGGCCTTCTTCACCGCAGTCACCCTCCTGAACAGTGCTGATTAATTTTTCCTAAAGGGTCTTCCTCAGTATATCCTTAAACAGGTAATTTAAAAAAACCCTCATTGATCTGGCCTCACTTTATCCTACAGACCTTATTTCCTCCTATTTCCTTATAACTATTATTTTGTTTGATGGTCTGTTTCTGTTTTTCCTTCTTGAGTCAATCCTTCAACATGCCTTGAATTTTCCCACTTTCTTGCCTTTGTTTATTCTATTCCTTTTTCTTGGAACGCTCTCTCCACCATATTTCCTTATCAAAGTCCAATTTATTTCTTAATAGATCAGTTAAAAATGAAACATTAGCTGATCACGCAAACTAGAAGTCATTTCACCCCCTCAGAATTCCTGAAATTCCTTGTTTTAATCATCACGTATATTATACAGATAGACACAGAGATAAATAGACTTTTTTGTGTGTGTGCATGCTCTCTCCCCTACACCTTCAGGCAAAGATTGTGCCTCTCCCATCTTTGTGTCCTTCTCCCATCACCTAATATAGTGTGCCTTGTACAAGAAAGTGTTCATTGTACACAGGACAGCATGAGCACAAACAGAATACAGACCTCCGTTCCACAGCAGCCTCCCACCTGGAATGATAGGTTTGATCACGTCTTCTCATTAATGAAGGAGGTGGGAGTGACCAATGATTCTCTCGAGAAGGTAGGAGAGATGTTATTATTACAAACTAGACTAGCTTCCACAGCTTAATTACTGAATTATTTGTGTGATTTTTATTCTTTGTGTAATTGTGTATTTTTATAATGTTCATCTTTCCCACTAAACTGAAAGCCTCCTAAGGATAGGGACTGAATCTTTCCTGTTCTCCATTGTGTCCCCAGAGCCCATCACAGTGCCTGGCACATGACAGGGAGTAAACAGATATTTGTAGGAAAAAATTAAGAGAGGAATGGGGAAAGAAACAGAGACTTAAGATCCTTGAAGATGAAGTTGTATTCAGATAGACAATCTGACCACAGTCTACCTAAGGCTATATTTATATTTACACTACTTAGTTTAAAAACCAAACTCTTGTCAATATGGTCAAATTAGTTGTCATGTCATACCTGTGTGTGGAATAGAGCTTAAAATATATAAAAAGAAAATGAAACAATGCTGAAAAGATGTGTTTTGCTAGCAACTGAATTCTGATTTGAACCTGATTACAACTGCAGTTGGACACTTCTTGCTAAACAAATACAAAGAAAGAACTTAATATGCTAAACATAGACATTCTACATGCATAAATACTATTTTGTGAATGAAACATCCATAACTATGTGGTTTCATTTAAGATGCAGAAAATTTGTCTTTCCATATCATAATATATAAACAATCATGTCCATTAAACATCGAGAGGCAGGTATAGAAGTTCACCCAACCATTTCTAACCAAAATATAAACCAGACTGTCTTTCTCTATGTGCAAAGCATATCTATACCATTTAATCAAATTTACATAGGTCTCTCATGATTTTCCTGTTGAAATGTTAATTCTGAGTTTACACACAAGCTTCAGGGAAAATAAAAATAAATGTCACAAATGGTACTAAAACAAGTTGATGTTGCACACTACACATATGGAGAGAAAACTACAGCGTCAAACACTGAGATGGCAAATGGCATACCTGCCTGATCTGTGCGTCTAGCTAATCAAGTTTATTCAATTTAAGTGCCTAGCTCTCTGAAGAGGTGCTAGACAACTAAAACACTTTCTAAAAGATGTACTAATAAATTGTAGTGCCTGTAACATCTTAAGCAACTACATACAATTTCTGTTGTAAGTTCTTCATTTATTATTTATTTTGTCTGGGTGCCTTAACTACTCATCAAACAGATAAAACCATTAGACAACTTTATATAAAAGAAAGTATTATTCAACCTGCTTTACCTTTTCAGAGTATATATGGAATAAAATATTACACATTAAATCACAGCTTTGTATAAATAAAAAAATAAAAAATGTAAGAAAAATTGAGAAAGCACTTACTTAAAGAGACATGAGTAAATCGTCACGAGAGGAGGTCACGAGCTACGGTAACTGAATATGTGGTCCCTCTTCAGAAGCTGTGAGTTAACTGCACCAGTAGCCACAAAATCGTCTCCAGTGTAGGTTCTTTTGGGGGAGGACAAAGCAATGACCCAGCCCATCCTCTGAATCCTGCCCATGGAAAATCACTCACTCCTCCTACGTAGGCTATCATAGGTGAGAAACCCAATGCCCAAGGACAGCCTTTGGGCCCCAGCACTCGGTCAAGGTAAAAATCAAATACAGCTATAGATTGAGCTTTCGCTCTGTAGGAGTAACATGCTCTGCATGGCTCACAAAGGAAAACCACTGCTTCTGCACTCTCAGTATTGTTATCAACGCCCTGCCCTCCTAGGAGCCTATCTGTCTTGTAGTTGACTTTGGAAAATGATGGTCATTCTCTCTTACATGAGAACCATGAGCTAAAACTAAGTTGCTTATGCCATTACATTAAAATGAATGAAACCCCAATTTGAAATAGCAGCATCAGGTTTAGTCAAGGCTAAAGAGTACGCTAATACAATATAACTTGTAATTTGCAAAAAATATTTGCCACAGACACTTTAAAGCATGCTTGAATGAGACAAAGAGTAGGTTCCTCTTTAAAATATAAATTACCCTGATATTTAAAACCACATATATTGTTAAAATGACCCAGAGTAATGACAAACAGTAAAGCCTTTTAATATTTCACTTCATTTAACTCCATTCAAAGCAACTTTTCACCTATTACCTATAGGACCTCTGAAACAGAGGGAAAAAAATCTCCCTTCTTCAGTAAACTTTTCATTATTAGAAAAGAAATGCAATTCAAGGTTCCCTTACTTCTTTTTGTCTAAAATTCATATTAAACCATAGAGCACAATGTTCCCCTGCATTATTTACCATATATTTTAAAAGAAAAATCTAAAGTTTTGACAAAGGATTCATATTAAGCCCAAGAAACATAGCTCTCCTGTTGCTTATTTATGAAGCCTTGTCATTAGAAAGAAAATAATCTTTGTTTCACTTTCAAGTGAAAGATGAAATTATTTTAATTAAAAAATATATCAGCTCACTACCAGAATATGCATTACTTACCATTTCATTCTACTCTGTGCTCTTCAGCATTCCAGTACAGGCTGCTCGATGCTGACTGCACAATGTAACATGATCCACTCTCTAAGCCAATAAACAAATATGTTTATGTGACTGGATGCCCTTTAGCACACTAATTATTGCTTGGTGACCCATCAATGGCTGGCTTCACTGACTGGATAACTAACTGGGTGTGATATCACCTTGACTATGAAAGGGTTTTTCAGTAGTCAGCTCGGGACGTTAATTTTTTCTATTTTGTTAAATATTTACCATAAGGAATGAGCACATTAATGCCCATCCCTAGCCCATGCTTGTGCTTTTCAATCACAGATTTTGAGTTGGAGACTATGGAAGGAAGGTTAGAGAGAAATGGACAATGACTTCAGATAGTTAACACATCAACAAAGACTCAGTTAAATCTACACAACTACACTAACATCAATGTGCCTCAGAAAAAAGCAGTCTGCGATTATATGACTATAGAGATTGTAACAATCTCTTCAAATAACAAGGCAAACTTTGCGAAGCACCAAAGAACATGTTTCTAATTTCCTCCTAGTCTAAAAGGATCTCCCATAGTAGAGTTTCCACAAGGAATCTGGTAGCTAGAACCTGGAATAGTACTAAAGGAAAAGTGGACAATTAACAGATGGTTTTACCCAAATGACAGATGACAGAACACACCTTGATAATAGCTCACATCTCGACTCCTCACAGCACTATAACTAATTATCTTATTTGATATTCATAAAAACCCCAGAAAATAGGAAAGCAGGTATCATATCCATTTAATAGATGAGAAAAAAAAAAAATCCCGATGGCTCTTATTCATTGAGCACCATGCATGAACTTGTCTCATCTTCCCAACAACCCCAAAGATAAATTCTATTACACTTCCCAATTTGCTTAGAAGGAATCCAAGACTCGTGATGGTAAAGTCACCTGCTTAAGGACACACACACGGTATGTAAAGTGCCAGACCTAGAGCTCCAGTTCTTCTGAAAAGTTCTAGAGCTTTCAGCCATTTCACATTACTACATCCTGAGAGGCCCCTAGCATTTCCCTCCCTCTCATATCCTCTTATTTTGCATTTAGCCAATAAGCAAACAGAATTACCAAGTTTAGTCACTGACATTAGGAAAAACACATTAATGGTTTCTGAATATCTACATTAGATCTTCACAGTGTTGCCCATAGCACAACTTCAGGGGCCTCTTCACACTGGATTCCATGTGAACAGTACAGGTGAAACTGGACCACATGCTGGCCCTAGCCTTGTAAAGGAACCACAAGTTAGGACAATGTAGACAAGACACACTTGAAAAAGTTAATTTTAAA